GTACCTGAAGGGGGGGGTGCATCACACCTGATCAGTACATCTGTTCCAAGCAATGCACACAACTGTAAATGCAAATTATGTCATGAAGAGTTCCTCTCACTCACCTGACTTTGGATAAGTGACGAGGAATATGTCACTATCTCTTATTTCAAAGCTCTGGAGGGAATCAAGGTACTCTGGAGTTGTGAAATCGACGGCGAAGTTGTAGTTTTTATACCTGCAGAGATAGTCTGTGATCTGCTCCATGTTACTTCTCAATCACTCAGAACAGTGAGAGAAATGCTAGAGATCAGAGTAGAGCAGGACACCTGTTAGCTCTCAGGTAGATTAGCAGGACTCTGGACTTTGATTCGTGCATGTTATAGGCTGTTGGCTTCTTCCTGTATGAGCCTGGATTACTGACGGCTTGGCTCACTCTGCCACCAACTGTAAACTTAACACACTGTTGAAGGTCAATAAAAAAAAAAAACCTGGAGTCATAATCTGTGAATAAATGTAGCATGTTTTATGTTTAGTAGCATAAGTCTGTTTATATATTATGTAGAGGCAAGCTTATGTATTTAAGTCATACCGTCTTTTTAAAGATAATTGTACAAAACTACAGCTGTTAATAATATTTAATAAGATTACTTTTCATATTTTCAGTGATTCATAGGCCTATAAATTGTCAATTTTAAAAGAAAAGCCCAGCAATAGGTTGTAATTTGTACATTTCTGTGCCACTTTAAAGCACTGTAATAACATACTCACAACTTTATAATTTGACATCATGATAAATTAAACTTTTACGATGGTTAAGAATATTTTCAAAATGGTGCAATAGAAAGACTGCAAAATTAATATAAAGTCTGCAACATTTTAACCAAACCAAACCTCAACTCCAGAGGGTTAGAGAGGGAGACAATGAAGTTAGATTATAAATATAAGCATAACTGTGCAAAATAGTACTTTCGATCTAGTAAACACTGACTAACTAATTTAATTTTTAGTTAAGACTATACGCCTTCTGAGAGAAACTTAGTGTGGTCGAAACAATCGTTATCAATATACAAAACATATATAAAACTCATGTTTAGCTTGACTATAACAGCATATTGATGCATTAAACAGTTTGATGACTGTGATTGTAATATTTTAACCAGTCTAACGTCACCTGCTAGAAATGTTAAACTAGCGTCAACGGAGGTACTCTTCCTTCTTCTTCTTCTTCTTTAGTGTTTATTGGCGGTTGGCAAACCAACTTGTAGGTGCATTACCGCCACCAACTGGACTGGAGTGTGGACAAGAGACTATGCAGAAAACAATAAACAAAAGAAATAAAACAAAACCAAAAAAAAAAGAACCAAAACTCTAGATTATTTTAAATGTATCAATTTCTCTTAAAAACTTAATAATCTCACATACATATTGCCTGATGTTTTTCCCTAACAGCCCTGATAGCGACAAGTCATGGAATTTTGCTTTCTTCAGTGTCTGGAAAAGCACATCTCTCTGAGTACTATATTTCCTGCAACGCAGTAAAACATGTTCAACAGTTTCTGGCTGACTACAGTGTATACACTTTCCGGTTGGATGGTTTCCTATTCTACTCAATGTATGATTGAGCCCTGTATGACCTATTCTCATCCGAGAAATGACATTTTCCTCCCTTCTTTTAAACCCCACCTTCCTTCCATCCCCACCTTTGAATGTTATAAAGATGTCTTCCTGTATCACTAAGGTTTGTGCATATTTATGTATGAATGTTTTAACCTCCGCTTTGCTAAGTGGAACTTCTATGTCTATGTTCATAATTCTGAGTGTTTGTTTGGCCAGAATATCCACCTGTTCATTACCCTCCAAACCAACATGAGCAGGAACCCAGATGAAACGAGTTGCTATGCCTTTGATTTGCATTTTATATAAAATTAGAAATATTTCATTTATTATGTCCATTCTAAATGAAGATCTGCCTGATCGTATACTCGATAATGCTGAAAAACTGTCCGATGCAATTACACTATTATGTATTTCTTTCTCCTCTATCCATTTCAATGCCAATACCAATGCCCACAACTCTGTCGTGTATACTGACACATGGTCTGTTACCCTTTTCTTTATATGTGTATTACTCACTGGGATATAAACTGCTGCCCCTGCACGCCCTGTCTCTGGATCTTTGGAGATATGATTGTTGAGTCTGAGTAATTTCTTGCAAAATAATTCTGGACTATGCGCCATACTGGTAGTAGTTCTTTCTTTTCCTTCAACTCCCTTTGTATATTGAGGTCTACCCTTGGCAATGGGAATAACCAGGGTGGAATGGACGAGATTGGAACTGTGGGGCAATACTGTATTTTATTCAAACCTATACTTGCTGCTTTAACATCGCCAATCCATCCAAAACTTGTTAAATGTGACTCATTGTGCTCCCAGCAGTCTTTCAAAATACTTTTCGCAGGATGACTATCACAATGCCCCTGAAGGTTTACCCAGTATGCCAACATTAACTTAACTCTTCTTATCCTTAAAGGCATTTCTCCCATTTCCACCTATATTGCTGATACTGGAGATGTTTTAAAAGCTCCACTACATATTCTCAGGGCCTGAGCTTGTAGGACATCCAGTTTTTAAAGGTTTGATTCTGCTGCTGCCATGAACGCTATACACCCATAATCTACTACAGGTCTCATGAGTGCCCAATATATATTCAGAAGTGATGATCTACTCGCTCCCCACTCCTGTCCCGCCAAACACCGAAGTACATTATTGACCTTTTTACATTTATTTTGAACTTTTCCTATATGATTGCTCCATGTTAGCTTTCCGTCAAACCAAACACCAAGAAACTTTATTGTATTAACCTGTTCAAGAGGTTGCTCATACAATTTTAACGATATAGGAGCAATTTTATGCCGTTTTGTAAAACAAATGACCTGCGTTTTAGCTACTGACAGTTTGAATCCCCATTTATTTGTCCATTTCTCCACTTCAACTATTGCAGCTTGTATTTTCTTTCCAACATGTGCTACATTGCGACCTTTTGCCCACAAAGCCCCATCATCTGCATACAAAGATTTTCCCACACTTGGATGAACTTGATTAAAAATGTCATGTATCATTATATTGAACAGCAACGGACTACATACACTACCTTGCGGAGTACCATTCTCCACAGCATAAACACTTGAATACTCTGCACCTACTCTTACTTGTATTTCCCTGTCCAGTAAAAAATTCATAACCCAATTATATGCTTTACCACCAATTCCCAATGATTTTAACTTGATTAGTAGTCCTTCCGAAAGAAATTCCGCCTTTCCTAAGTTTGTAACAGCCAAGATCTTTGAATTGGGTACTGGCTTCAACAGCATTCCCTGCGTCGTGTCGTCGGCGTAGATGTAGAGAAGCGCTGATACCTCCTCATCAGTTCATCGCTCGGATTTCTTCATGTTTGTCATTATTTCACTGCGTTAAAAAAACAAACTACTCTTCTTGGTGCGATGAGGTTGTTGTAGCGAGGCAAAACAATGGCGGCTCTACACAACATGTCCACAGTTGTACGGGGCGTGGTTTGCAATTCGCCCAGCCAATCAGCACTGGGGCACTTTTGGAGCACTTTTCACCCACAGAAAAGTACGCTCTCTGAGCTGGCTCTAAAAATGGGGGTAAAAGTACCCGAGATTAAGTACAATTTTTGGTGTGAACGCGACATAAGGGGTACTCACGGAACTAAAACGCGAAAAGTACGGTGAAAGTACTCCGGTGTGAACGCGGCTATTATGTCCCCTCTGCTCAAAACTGGCAACTCATAATTCCTTCGAATTCCCCCCATTCTCCTAATAATGCCCCAAACATCTGCAAGCTGTACTTCTCTTCCAATACTATTGCAATATAGCCTCAAAAAAGTGCGTTTTTGCGTTCTTATTGTTCTCCTTACTATAGCCTGGGCCCTTTTATACTGATTCAAAGCTTCCTGAGAATGGAGTTGTTTGAGTTGCCTGAATGCTTTATTTCTGTCTTTAATGGACTTGCTACATTCACCATTCCACCAGGGTACACTCTTGGTACGCCTAACTCCTGCAATTTCCGGAATTGTTTCTTTAGCTGAATGAATGATAACCTTGACCAGCTCATCATTGAATTTATTTATATCATCAAAATGTTCCTCTTGAAGTGTTTTACATCTATTCGTGCTTACAACTTGGAAGGCATCCCAATTAGCCTTTCCCAATTTCCACCTAGGAATTTTATTTTCCTTTTCAAAACTTATGTTGGTTCCAACTTTAGTCATTACCGGATAATGATCGCTGCCCACTGTAGTATGCTTTACCACATTCCATGTACTTATACCTGCTATAGCACTAGATACAAATGTCAGATCGAGTACTGTTTCTATATTCTTCGTGCAATTATATCGTGTTCCTTCCCCAGTGTTAATACACACTAGCCCGTGGTCATCTATAAATTCCTCAACTACTGCACCATTTGCATCTGTGCTACTGCTTCCCCATAGCGAGTTATGTGAATTAAAAACCCCACACCATATTACTTTGTCTTGCAGTGAACCCCCAGCATCCTCTAATATACTTTGATCTAATTTCCCACATGGATTATAATAATTTACTATATCTATAGGTCCTCTATCATTCCATACCCTTATAACTATTGCCTCATGATCTGTACTTACATGCATAACTTTGTAACTTATACTACTCTGTATGAATGTTGCAACTCCTCCCCCTCTGCCAGAGTCCCTATCTCGTCTAACTGCAGTATATCCCTTCACAATAAAATCCAGTTGTGGTTTCAGCCATGTTTGAGATACTCTTCCGGTGAACACATTCAAAATAAATGACTTTATCCATTTGTATTTGTTGTTGTTGTTTTGATATTTTTGTATTAGTATTATTTAATAGTTACATGTTAAGGTAATCATTTGAATGCAACTTAACTCAAACCAGAACAATTCAAGGAAGATGTCTTTTTTTTTAACAATTCCCTTTCTGTTTACATCATAGTTAATGACGTGGGTGTAAATCCGTTCTAGCGGATGTTGACTCGGAGCTGCAAACGTCAAACAGCTTCAGCAACGACCGCGGGTGACAGGCAGAGTCTCTCTCTAAAGCAGGTAATTTGTCTTTCAGCACCATGACAGCTGCATAATTTCGGTCACGACCAGATATTATGTTTCATAACGCGACAGCCGTTTAGCTTTTTAACGGGCATGTTTCGGGGCAGTCAGTCAGTTGTTGCAGTCTAGAATGGCGACGCTAGCTAGCTAACGACGGCTAGCCAACATGTTTTCTCAGACTGAACAAGCACACCCTTGTTGTCTTCCAAATTACCAGCTGAGAACAAACAAACGCTCGCTGTCAGTCTTTTTTCTCACCCTATTTTTAAAAGCCGGGTTAGACAAATGGCCTGAAACGTGTCTTTAAGCCAACACTAGATATGCGAACACCACTGCGCTTATCTGCGTTACGTTAGCCGTGTTAACGTTAATGATAATGCGAGGTGTTTGCACTAGATACACGGCCCCACTCAAGTTTACATTCATGCTGTTTACAGCTAGCCCCCGTTATGTCACTAAGTTATTCATGGTTAGTTGTGCAAGTAGCTTTGAGCTGGATTATCTTGGGAAGGATTAAAACAAACATCAGCTAGCTAACGTTAGCTAGTAGGTTAGTTTAGAAGCATTGGCGTTAATTTATGAGAAATGACTCCCAGCACATTTGAATAAGGGTTCATTTATTGTCCTACAAAAAGGTAGCTTCATAAAGTGTTGTGATTGCAATGGTGTTCCTCTTTTTGGTTTCTCTCAGCTGGTTATTTCCAGAGACCAGGGGGCAGCTCTGCAGTCTTGGGCTCTGGCCCATTTGATAGAGGACTTTGGTCATTTCTGAAATGATTAAGATTTGAATGATAGATACTTCAATCTCTATTTGAGAACACTGTTGAGTGATAAATGCCCTTGCAATTCCCCTCCAAACAATGATTCCCCAGCTTTTGCTTCTCTCTATTATTGCGCCAGAAATGACGCCACTGTGTATTGAAGTGATCAACTTTAGTAGTAAGCAGTTATTGGTTTATTAGATATGTTTTAGTAACACAACAATACCATAATCAGCTGAAGAAAAAACATGTTCTTCAAGAATACAGTCATTGAGAAAATAAAAAGAAACGATTTTTATCATAGCCAAAGAAGTGACTTTGAATGACACCTATCCATCTCATCACTTCTTAGATTCAATATTTAATTGCATTAGCAATTTATGTAGCTTTTTTTGGAGTGATATTTTTACAGAAGATCTGTTTTGTCTTTCAGTGTCAACCTGTACAGTTTCAGGAAATGTTATGTAAATTAAAGCTGGAGGACTTACGAAGGAAGAAAACATGGGTTTTGTGCTAAATAACTTGTTTTCTTTGGAGAAAACAGTTAATTTATAGATGAAATATTTGAATGTTAAGGCCCATATAGAAGCACTCAGATTTTGGGCAACGCAGCCTCTTTTGTGACATTGTTATTGTTATTAATGCAATTTTTACATTGTTGTCATATTACAGGTCCAAGCGCATTTGCCAGATTCCTCAGGTGGGATCTTTCTTTTGGTAGCAGGTAATTATCTTTTTCCTTATTAGCAGCAATAATAAACCACAGAAAAGCAGCAACATTTAGTCTGAATGAAAGTGATAGTGATTTGTCACAAAGGTAGTATTTATTTCAGGCCTGTTGTTCTTGACTGTACGCAGGTGTTATTCTGTAATTCTACTTTTACAGTTTACACACAAACTGTAACTGTGTTACAACCTACACTTTCCTGTTTGGCTACCCTTTTCAAAAGGAAATGCCTTGCGTCACTAACCATGAAGAAACTGAAAGAGCCCCTTCCTGTTTCCTTTTGAGAAATTCACCCTCACTTACACATTTTCTCCCCCAGTACATGCAGTTTCACAATGCTCTGTTATGTAATGTTCAAATGTACCTGTAGCTCTCTACAGCCAAGCCATCATTTTTGTCTTAGTTTGTAATCATTTTAAAAGCGCAGTTTTGAAAGGCTTGACATTGTCATTTTCACAAATCAATGATAGTAGAGGGTGTTCCAATAAACCAGGGCATCACAACGCTGATCAAAATGTCACTGCGTTTCACTCAGTTGGTTTATTTGCAGACTGACATCAGCAGTTACACAGACTACTTCATTAGCCTCTCTGCCTGCTGTTGGAACATTTTACAACCTGGGAGAAGTCTGTGTCAGAGAGTAATGAGCCGCGGGACTCAAACTGCATGTGTTTTTTTTCTTCTCACAGAATAAAGAGTTGTGAGGGGAGCACCGTGTCCAACCCCTTTCCCTATACATACATCCGGCCAGAATGTCCAGTGATCCTCCTCCTCCGTACCCCGGGGGTCCCAGCGCCCCCCTCCTTGAGGAGAAGAATGGACAACCTGGTAATAAAACCAAGCACGCAGGATTGTGGTGAATGTTAACAGGCACAGATGCAGTGTGTGGCCAAATTTAAATCATTGTGACTTGAATCAGATGTCACCATGGAGATTTTAATAATAGTCTCTGAGTTTGTTAAAACTTCTGATTTGCCATCCTATCAACTTAATACCTTTTTTTCCCTTTGTGTTATCTTTCATTTGCAGTTCCTTTGAGGAATGCTCCTATACAGGGACAGCCCTTACCTCCAGACTATGGCCCTCCACCCTATGAGGCCACAAACCCCGGCTTCCTGCCCCCCCATGTTCCTGGAGACGGACCCATGCCCATGCCCATGCCCATGCCCATGCCCATGCCAATGCCTCTACCCCAAGGTGCTGCAGACAGTTTGCTACATACAAAAACATCGTAAACACACTTGATGTAATGTTCAGCACAAATGAATCTGCATTTAATGAATTGACCATTCACTGATTCTTCAAGGTTACACTACAGCAAACTGTATCATCACATTTAAAGCTTTTTAAAGAAGGTCTATCATACAGACATTTATCAGTACATTTTTCCCAAATCCACATGAACCACTATTCACATGAGCAAACATTAAATGCAGCTCTGACTTAATGAATGCTTGCCTCGTACTCACAGTTGGAAAGAACACCATAAAGAAGTAGAACTTGTGTACATCTCAGCAAACTTGAAGGAAAACGATAAAGCCAACTTCACCAATCTGTTTAAACTAAATATTCCCTGATCTAAAAAAGAAAAACCGCAGAATCTGTCAACATGTTAGCCTGTCGTTCCTTACTAAACCTCTTTGTAACCGATAGGCTTCCAACAACTTTGCTGCAGAGTAATTATAAAACTAGAAATGGTTGTTTGGTCTTGGCATTATTACCATTGTACAATTATCAGGAAAATGCTGATGCTGATATTAAGTGCTGCTTCCTCCTGTACAGGTGGCGCCTACCCGCCCGGTCACTTTCCGATGCCGGGACCCATGGGCCCTGGTCCCAGTCACTTTGTCCACATGGGGGGGCACACAGCCACCGTCCTGGCTCCTCCTGGAGCTGCCACCACTGTGACCGTCCTGCAGGGGGAGATGTTCCAGACCTCCCCGGTGCAGACTGTGTGTCCGCACTGTCAGCAGGCCATCGTCACCCGCATCTCCCACGATGTGGGCCTCATGAACACACTCTTCTGCCTCTTCTGCTTCTTTGTAGGGTGAGTAGAAGACTGATTAAAGGCACCTAAGAGCACCTTTTTGCATCCTTGGAAGGCCTTTGTTGAATATGTATCACTTCATGGCTGGGCTAATGTATGCCTTCTTGGTGTTTCAAATTAGTTTATTTTCAATAAAAAATATTGTAAAACATTACACTTATTCATATTGAGGCTTACCTTCAGTCAGAACCTCAAGCTTGTTTTGGGTTTTATTAAAACCTAAATTGATAAACACTTTGATTTAAAGTATACAAAATTACTATGTGTCAGAAAGTAAGGCTGCAACTACGATTGTTTTATAAATGTAATAAATTGCTTTATTGTCTACAAAATGTCAGAAAATACTGAAAAATGCCCTTTCCATTTTCTAAAAGTCAAAGACAATGTCTTTGACTTTTAGAAAATGGAAACCTCCATATGCTAGAAATACAGCATCTTCATGAACATCTAACAATTTATCGATTTTCAAAATAATTCCCAATTTTTCCGTTGATCGACTCTGTGACTAACGTTGCTCAAACTCAGAATGATGCCTTTGAACTGTTACTTGTTCACTCTGCCTGTTCTCAGTAACCTGTCTATATGCAAAGCCAGTGCACCTCTTTATGGTTTGGCACATGCAAATAACGTTTCTGTTCTAGACAAAATGTACAGACATCTGGTGGGGACAGTTTCACAATTCCTATTTTGTATTTTGCACATAGACCTGTATTTGAGTAGGATCCCTATAGTTTTTTATCTACACTTCATTTATAACAAGTTTAACAGAAGCTGTCCTCATGAATGCAGAAAATACATAGGCTATTACAGAGTTACTGAAGTTGCTCTTATCACAAGAGTTATGCTGAATCCTGCATGTTCAGCAAAAACGTTTGATTTTATTTCACTGGATTGGACTGAACATCAACAATCATATGCAGGTGTCTTAATTTGCCATTTCCCCCCCCCCCCCTCAGGTGTGATCTGGGCTGCTGCTTGATTCCCTGTCTGATTGATGACCTGAAGGATGTGACACACACCTGCCCGTACTGTAAGGGCTACATTTACACATTCAAGCGTATATGCTAACCACCGACAGCAGTATGCAACAGAGACGTGATGTGAAATCTCTCTGTAAAACAAATTAAAATGTAGGACAATAATTACTACTAAGTTCATTGAAATAAAGTTCAAGTGGCATGTTGCTTCAGCACCAATAACAAGACACAACTAAAAAGAAAGTTTGGGAGGTGGGGCAGGAGTCTCTCTCTCTCTAGCGCACGCGCACACGCACGCACGCACACACACACACACACACACACACAGCTCCTCCTCTGCTGGTAGTGACAGGCTTTCCCCTCCATTTTTGCAAAGTGTTGTGAAGCCCTCTTAAATTGTAAGTGCAGTTTTCTCATTAGTTCACAGAGTATTTACTGTATATATATTTCAGCATAACTCTTTCATGTAAAAAACATGCATTTAAAATGTACAAATCTCACAGAAGATGTAGGACACTTAGATATCCGCAGAGGTGGATAAGCAGCAGGCCCATTGGTGCATCTGGTCCTGTATAGACACCTGAAGAAAAGGCTAGTGAAGTTACGCATGTTAATGGAAGAAGATACTGGATAGAAACGGTCAGTTAGTGAAAGCTGTGAAAACGGTCACTTTATTTATTAAATTCATCTGTGAATCTTGCTGAGAAGCAAACGTATTGAAGTCGAACATGCTGGGTTAGCTTTGTTTTTTTCCTGTATTTATTTCCGATATTTTATCCACTAGCTTAACATGTTAATATTGATAACTGTGAACATGTTTGTCTATGTCCGATCTTTGCTCTAACAAACCTAGTTTTTTTCCTTTTAATCATTATCCCGTACTGAATGTGAGCAAACTAACGAACCATTTTAAACGGATGTATTTGCTTGTTTAGGAATGCCCAAGATTCATGTTACGTTCTATATTTAATAATCTTCTGGGCTTTCAGTCAGTAGTCACACATATTTAGTGACTTACAGTCCTGCCCTCTGTCCATTATGTACTTATTTTGATAGTAAATCAAACATTTGCACTTTAAGTTGCCCTCTGATGCATTCATCCACCTCATTAGTGTTTGAGAGATTTGAAGATTCACAGTGTCATCTCATGAGTAAAAGCAGTGTAATATTTAGGTAGACTTTAAGTAGAGCCAACAAAAGAGGTGTACTGTTACTTAACGAGACACACTGCATGGCATCTTGGCAATCTTACGTCCTCTCTATAAGACCATGTTGGCAAACAAATGACCGTGGTGGCACCATCATCATCACATGACATGTTTAGCCTGTAACCCTCCTAGTAACGGCATCAGCCCTTTAAGATTACCTGCATTGTTCAGATGCACGTTAGAAAACAAATACCGAGGTATTTTGACTAATACTAAATAGTGAACATCTCTGTTAGGAATAAGCTTCTAATAAATGATTGTATCAGATATCCTGCAAAATAACAATGTGATTCCATAGAGATTACTAACAATGGAACATCCATCGTGTGCCCACCACAGCATGCTCAATCTGCCCACCACCTTCTCTCACAATGTGCAGTTTGTCTGCATGAGCCACACCTCAAAACAAAGAATTGTTACTGGCTAGTTCCTGGACTCTATGTGCATTGAATTCTTTTTTTTCTTCTTGAGGCTAGCTAAACTGTGCGAGAAAGTGAATTTTGATTTGAAGGATTGCATTGAACTTTTAATACGAAGTACTGTATGCCATTCTTGTGCATAATGCTGGTCTGCATTGCTCTCTAAATGTCTGTGATATGTATAACTATGTCAACATTTGTTTGACTGTTGTATACAGGTACTATTTTATCAATAAAAATCAGAACATGATTGATGAAACTCATTTTAATGTTGTTTGGAAAATGAACTATGTCTGCAAAGTAAAACATGTATGGAAATCTCACCTGCAAACACAAAAACAAAATAAATGGGAATCATCAGAAGAATGCCCGAAACTACGAGAGCCTGTTAACAATAGATATAGGCTTAAAAAACAAAGTCTGAAGGTAGTATCTTTGCCAAATAAACATCATTTTTATATTAAATACAATTTTCAAAGTGCTAATCCTTCAGTCTCTCCATCTGTGTCCACACTGGGCTTGGCAGCATTTGTAGAAGGTTGTCATCGGTTCATCAGCTGATCTGGTCTGAATCTGCATGAAATACGCCCGCAAATGCGCACACTTTGGACACGTTTCTGTAAAGTGATACAAGCAGAATGAAACATCAGTCTGGAATCACTCCAAACCCGAGAGTTACTGTAGCCATATTTGGTTTATGCTGTGTAAAAGAGAAGACAGGTTTGAGATGATAATGTCAATCAAAAATATTAAGATTAAAACAAGATCATCTCCAAGACAAACACATCCAAATCTGTGTGCATGCACATTTTATTCATTCTATTAAATATTTGATTACAAATAACAGCATTTCCAATTGTAAGAGATGAATTGGTGCTGAGATTTTACTAGAAATGTTATGTATTAAATTAAAGAAAAAACATAAAAACCCAGGCCACACGTATGAATGTCATGTGCTACAAAGAAAACAATCTATGAAAGAGTAAACATTGTTAGCGATGACATGTGGGAATGACAGGTTTAAACAATAATAAAAAGCAAAGCCATTATGTAACAGAGAAAATGCAGGGTTTTTGAGGTGGCAGACAGACACAAATGTATCAAGACAACAGATCTAAGATTACTGGGCCGTATCTCATTTAAAAGATTTCCCCTCCTCCGGTAGTGACCCGGAAATGAATTTCAGCGCGCCATGTTGAAGGACATCTCATTTCTCTAAATGCACTTCGAGCATCGAGCGTCGAGGAGGCTCTCTGGAGGAGCTATAACCGAGGATACACTGATGGGTCCTCCACGGTCCTCCACAGCACCTACGTGGATGCATTTCCGGCAACAGAGATGTTTCAAAGAGTCGTGACGCACGGCCGGACTTATCTCAGCCAATGATAGCTCTGCATGCATCCCCTGGATATTATTTTATTAACTGCTTTCATCGCGACGCAAGCAGAGCAGTGTGTATAATATATATCACTCATTATAAAACGGACAAGTCAAATCAAGCAATCTGATTGGTTCTTAGCCGTGGTATACTGAGCGTATACCACGGGTAGAATTGTAAGTTACTTTTCACAACAAGTCAGTATCCCTCCGCGTCTGAGATAAACAGTATACAGTTGGGCTGAAAAGCAAACTGCCTGCAGTTTGCTTTTCAAACTGGAACAAGAAAGCAGCGGAGAAGTAACGGGGCAGAAACCCTCCTTTTTACGCAGCGGTCCAGACACAGACATCAAACGGCAAAAACATATTCAGTGTGCAGTTCCTTTGGCATTAGGGCAGGGATATCTAGATACTTTCCAAGGTTTGACATCATGATTGTGCTACTTTTAAAGCAAGCAACGATGTTGGGGGGTTAAGGGGGTTGTCGACCCTCCGCTTCTCGTCGGGCGAACCACGCCCCTTAACTGTGATATAATGGCCATATACCACGGCCTGTCGTGAGCTATTGCTTAAGTATAACAGGCCTACTCTCTTTATTTGCTTTAGTTTAGTAGATATCTACAAACAAAGAGTCGATATTTTTCTAAAACCATTTAGTGCTTCACATAATAAAATACATAACGGCTGTAGCCTGATTATATGCTTTAGGAGCTGTAGGTGTGTGTGTGTGGTGTAGGTGTGTGTGGTACAGTGTGTGCGTAGATGCAGCGGACAGACAGGTCTCAGTTGGTTTGGTGTCCTCTGCTTACTTGTAATACTTGTAAATAAAACTTTTTGGCCCGTCATTTATTTTCCTCATTGTAGCGACCAGAGAGGGGAGAGGGGATATATCCAGTCTCTGATAGTGATACGTTATGAGAGTGCTCTCATACTGGTTTGATTCTGAAATTGTATATATTTATATAAATATATATATGTGTGTGTGTGTGTGTCCGCATCTGTAGCCTGTTATTGTCTCATTATACCGCACTGTGAATGAATTAAAAGTAAATATACAAGTGGTCATGAACACATCTGTCCATCAGACAGAGGGCTGATGTGCCTCCTGTCATCATTAATGGACGTCTCTTTAAAATGACTGCTCAGAGGAAAGGATTTCTCATTTCTCTAAACGCCTGCTGCTTCCACTCCTCTCTACTCGGTTCCCCTCCTCGACTCCTCCGCTCGCATCTCCTGTGGGCGGGACTAAGACACGAGGATAGGAGTCGAGGAGGGGAGTCTCAGAAATGAGATACGGCCTTGGTCTCTGGTATAATCATCAACTAAAGCCTTAATACTGTGGATCATTTTCATGTCACTTACCAGGAGTTGAGTCAACGTTTTCCCAAGCTGCAGCGCCACCAAGAACATCATCCACCTCTTTCAGCTTGGGAAAGTTCCTGTAATTTACCTGTAGAAAAGGTATGTCAAACACAGCCACGTGTGAGCCAGCAGTACCATCTTTATGAACAAATCAATCTTAGTAAAGTGTGGTCAAAATGTAAAATAAAATAAGGCCTTCTAGACTGTACAAGTATAAAATAATAATTAGTATGGTATGTTGAAAAAAGTCATGGTATAGTTTGTCGAAAAATAAATAAAAAAACACAAAGCAAAATATGCAAAAAAAGTATAGTATGTCAGAATTGTGCAAACAACAACAACACAGTATAGTATGTCGCAAATATGCAAAAAGAATAAACAGTATATATAGCATGTTTAAAATATTCAAATAGAATCTGAAAAATCGACATAGTATGTCGAACATATGCACACAAAAAGAGATAGTATAGTATTTCGAAAATTGAAAAATGTACAAATAAATTGGCACTATTACTTAAAAAAATAAAATAAAAAGGTAAGTGTATGGTGTTTCGAGAAAAGTCACAGCATACTATGCCAAAAATATTTAAAAATGTCACAGCATATTATGTTGAAAAAAGTCATGGCATAGTTTGTCGAAACTAAGAAAACAAGTCATTGTATACAGAATGGCGAAAATTCGAAAAAATATCAAGTATGTTGAAAAAAGTAATGGTTCAGTATGTCGAAAAATATGAGAAAAAGCCATAGTATAGTATGCAAACTAAAGTCTTAGGGTAGATTGTCGAAAATATCTTAGTGGAGTATGTCGAGGAAAAGTTACATGACACGTTACTTCCAAGCTAGGAAGGCCTTTTGATTTAACTAATATTTGATAACTAGAAATGACATGATGTGTCGCGTGACATTTTATTCGAACATAACTCACCTTTCTTGTGATGTTGTGAACATACGGACAGGTGTTGCAGGCGAATCTCATGCACTTCTGTCCTTCCTCGACAATTAAAACATTCCCGCAGGTTGGACAAAAGAGAAGCATGTTCCCCACACATAAATGTAGCTAAACACTAAACCAACAAACTCAATAAGTATGGTTTTGTACACAACTAGCTTACTGCTTTAGTGTCACTTGTATACACTGGTACATGTGGAGCAGCGGAAGTGAAGCTGGTGCTACTCGTATTATCGCTCGTTTGGAAACGAAATATACAGATAATGAATGTGGCACTGACTTTATAATAATTAAACAAACACATCCCAAATAACTATCACTTTTGAAGAAACATTCATTAACATAAACATTTTGTCGTTTAATAAAACCGTTAAGAAGAGTCTGAATTTAAGTCCACTTAGGGGGAACCATTTGAACTGAGATGCGGTTTCCTTACGGTATGTCATTTCAGCACACCGTTTGTTTATTTCATGCCTTTTTTGCAGCAAAATTAATTCAAATTTAACAATGTTTTTCAGCTGTCTTTGACACATTGTAGTCCTACGGTACATTTTATTTACTCTTACTTATTTTTCTAATTTTATAGTTTTGCTATCCTGACAAACAGGCCTGTTGAATTATGTTTATGACGGAGGAGCAGAGTGAGGAAACTCCTGGAGGAGGACTGTCTGTAAAAGAGGAAGATGTGGAAAAAGAGAATGTGTCCGAGATGGCAGCTTTAGACGAAGAAGAAGAAGAGGAGGAAGACGAAGAGACTCTTCCTCACTCAGAGATCCTGGACATATTCGAGGAGGGTCTTGCTCAACTTGTTCAGGACCCTTTACTCTGTGATCTGCCAATTCAGGTCTGTGTGATGTGTCTGTATTACACAGGGCCGAGCACAGGCTTTTTGGGGGGCAGGTGCTCAAGTTCAATCAATCAATCAATGTTTATTTATATAGCCTAATATCACAAATGTTACATTTGTCTCAGTGGACTTCACAGTTTGTACAGAATATCAGTATGTAGTAAGTACTGTAGTATGATGAGAGTCAGGCAGGACCGCAGAGACAGGTTCAGCCACGACTCGAAGTCCAGGACTCAAATCCAGAACTCAGGATAGAGGATCCAGGACACAGGACCACAGCAACAGGATCAGCCACGATCAGGAAGTTGAGGATCAGGAAGTTGAGGGGGAACAGGGCATTACCCATCACAAATGTGGTCAAATTGACTTCCAACTGTTTCCATTGAATGTCAAACCACACATTCTAAGAGTACACCCCTCAAATCATGTATTTCTGGAAGAGTGAAAGATAAATACAATTTAATTGAGGTCAAAGTTGATTTTTTATTGTTATTTTACAGGTCAACGTTTTTCCAGGTCATAGTGTCATATTCTTTTGATTATTGGGCAAACTTGTAAATTGTCTTTTAATTTTTTCCTGAAACCTGATCATCTTTATCTATAGGTAACTTTGGAGGAGGTTAATTCGCAGATTGCTTTGGAGTACGGCCAAGCCATGACAGTCAGGGTTGTAAAGGCAGACGGAGAGATTATGCGTAAGTGTTGAGAGTGTTTTGCTGAATTCTAAATATTACTTTGGTCAAAGTACTGAAAACTGTAGTTCAATATACACTATGTGTTTTTGATCACATAACAATTACCATTTTTTTTAAACATAACTCCACAAGTTGTATTTAAACATTTACTATGTCTGTCTTTTTTCTTTTTATTAACCATCTATAAAATAAACGTTCCTCCCTTAGCCATAGTTGTGGTGCAAAATGCAACCGTCCTGGATCTGAAGAACGCCATCCGCAGATTCATGGAGCTGAAACAACAACGTGAAGGCGGAGTGAAACAAGTCAGCTGGTAAACATGCTCACAAACACAAAACCATAGAAGATATTTTAAATTAAGAAAAAAGCCAAACCAAAAGCCACTGTTTGCTCTCTTTGTTTTACAGGAGATATGTTTGGAGAACTTTTCTGTTAATATTTCAAGGGGAAAAGCTTGACGATGACAAGATGAGGCTTAAGGAGTAAGTGCATGAAATAATCCCCTCTGTCACGTGTTATCATCTGCACCGTTTGACTTTGTTTCTCTGTTCAGCTATGGGATCAGAAACAGGGATGAAGTGACGTTCATGAAGAGACTCAGGAAAAAGTGAAACGACCCACCCAACGCTTGAAACGTCAGGCGAAAAACAAAGTTCCTGCAGTGTGTGCTGGGACCCCCTGCCACGCAGACATCAAATGACTTTCACAAAGTTCTCATGAGTACGACTTGCTTGAGGCAGTCGGGACATCTTAGTATAAAATGAGCACGCTTCTCGAAGAGGCTACATGTAAATAAATCTTGAGTTGTGATTTTGTAAAGTTTTCTACAAACATTAAAACATATTAAAGTTTGTTGGTGTTTTACTTGCATGACAACAAGAGCATTCTGTAACATTTTCCAGAGAGGTCAGCTGTGAACTGAGGATTTGAATATTTCCTGGTATGAGTAAACACTACCAGCCTTTGTTGACCTGGTTTGAATATTAACTGTACGAGAGACACTGGGAGCAGCTGATGAAATACGGTAACACATACATTATTCTCTTTCATATTATATTATCTTCAACTGAGTTGTAATGTTATTAACTGTATGAAGATAGTAGTTGAAATGGTATATAGTGTAGTAGTGAGTATAGTGCATTTTATCTACTAATTATTATTATTTTACTTTTGCTTGCTCAAACCTGAATTAGTCTTGTATATTTTTTTCTTTTCCTACCACCGTCTTGTTTTTTGGAGGAAAAGCAATGTTTGATCAATATTTAGTATATTTTATTAATTACCACTACTTTTAAAATGCATTTAACATAGCATTAATATGAAATGTAGTAGAGCTACAACGGACACTGAGTTAGCAGTGTTTTTCAGTCGACCTTTGATCATTAGCAGTTTGTCTAATGTAATGTATTCTGTATTGTTGACATTCAGAGCTGCACAGCAAAATTGTGTCAATGTTTTAGCAAATTTCTATAATTGGATATCAACTGCAGTCTTTGATTACAAACGTTTGGTCTGCTAACATTTTCATGGGTGTGGTTCAATTGTCACATGGAAGATAAATAAGCAAAGGATACCTGCAAACATATTTTTCAAAATAGATCCTACGATTTAGTAGATTATCAATATTTTCTAACTTGTTCTTTATTTTGAGATGTCATTGGACAAAAACTGGGTGACGGATGAATATATTTTAGGTAGTACCCTTGAGCATTCTCACTGCAAAACCTGAAAAATGTATGCTACATTTTGAGGAGTTTTGCACTAAATGTATTAACCAAATATCAGTCCTTTGTTAAAAAAAGTCCAACAATTGCTCATGTCTCTTCAGCCTCCACCATGACTTCTTCAGAAAGCGAGCTGAACAAGATTTCCACAGAGCTCAAACACCTTTCACTCAAGAGACAACAACTTCTGGAGAGGAAAAAACTCCAGTGCATATTTCAGGAGTTGCAGAATCGTGTTCAACTTGAACAGCCAGGTGATGTATAAATGAGCATTAAAGAAATGTCTATAAGTATTTGCAACAGGAGAATGAAGTAGCTATCTCACATATTTTGAATATTACATAATCAGCTATGCTATCTCATGCGAGTCACTTTTTTAAATTTTCCTAGAGGAGGGTGACCCGTATCAGCATGAGATTGACAGCATTGATGACAAACTGAATCAACTGGCAGAGAGGAAGGCAGAGCTCCAGAAGAACCACGACAACATGGTCTACGGGAACGATGAGAAGAACAGCCTGAAAGGTGTGTCCAAATGCACTGCAGCACACCGTTTCTCCATCATACTTATTTTGTGTTCCATTTCTTTGTTGTTAGAGATCACCTCCATCCAGAAGGTTGTGCCTGACGGTCCTGGAATTTTCTTTGTTGAGCACCCGGATTTTCCCGGTGAGGCTCTGATGCACATTTGTAACGGTTCAATTCAAGGCTTCTACAGAACCTGCACCCAGTCACTGTGTTGCTGTTATATCTACTGAGAATAATTTTCTTCTGTCAGTAATCAGTGTAACATTTTCTTTAAAATGTTCTTTATTTTTCAGCTTCATCAGTGAAAACGATGTGATCCATTTAAGTCTATTTGTTTTACCCTCCATGTGTTTATGTCTTAAGAACAGTTGAAAAAAGGTTTTGTTTTAAAGGCCCTAAAAAAAGAATCAGTAAACAACATTTGTTGTTGGGTTTTTTTCAGGAAGGGAGGGGGTTTGCATGCAGAAATTAAAAGTCACCTGGTAAAAATATGAATTTAGCACATGGGGTAACACTTAAGCCATACTGTTGCTAAATTAGTATTTCAAAGGCCTCTGCCAGCCAGTCAAATTGCAGTTTACATCCATGTCTGTCCAAAATATAATGACTTTATCCTATAGTAAAATGGTTTTGTGAGGTCACAGTGACCTCTGAGCCCCAAATTCTACTCACTTCATCAAGTTCCAAATTAAAGAGACATTTCTTCCTGACGTTCCTGAGATGTTTAAACCTGAAAACATGCTGTCACATGCTGGAGAAAATTAACTCATGTCTTACTTCATGCACCTGCAACTTTGTCGCACTTGTGTCAGTAAATGTATACCAGAATCTGACCAGAATTATATCAGATAATTAATTAAATTACAATGTAAGTTACTGACACTTAACTGGAGATTTTAATAGCTACCATTTTTCAGAATGTTCCCTCTAGAAGTTTTAGAGAAATATTAAAGGGGACCTATCATGCAAAATGCACTTTTGTACGTCTTTTATACATGAATATGTGTCCCCGGTGTTCCAGGGAACTCACCAAGTGTCAGAAAACACAACCCTCTCTATTTTCCTCCATACCCAAATCTCTAAAAAAGGGGCTGCAACGGATCTGATAAAAACTGATCCAGATTTGAACACTGTCCTGACGTCAGGACAGTGGCGCTACGGCTATTGGGCCAACTCCACCAATCAGGAGGAGACAGCCACGGCCATTGCCGTTCGAAAGCGCTGGAGACGCTGTAGTACATATGCCGGGCCTGTAGGTGGTGCTGTTCTCACAGAATCAGCCCTTGCAAAAACAGGGGTAAAAAAATGCAAATTGTGCAATATGAGGCATGGCTAAAATGCAGGATCTGTTTGGTTTTTTGAAGGAAAAAAAATACCTATAACCTTATATAGATATGGTCCTACACTATATTATTATAATATAGCATGATAGGTCCACTTTAAGTTTGATTTCTGTTGGAAAAACATAGATTAGTTGTTGTTTTGTTCTTCACAGCGCCTACAGTGATTCTGGACCTGGAGAACCTTCCCCCCCGCCCCACCAGGACGCAGTGTCCTGAGTGTGAGCAGTTCATCACGACAGAGACGTTCACCTCCATCAGCAGCGTCACTTGGCTCATGTGTTTCATGACGGCTTTAATTGGGTATGACAGAGTTCCCGTTAGCCGGTAATTACCGGACAATGACCGGTAAAATATGCTGAAGTCCGGCAAATCTAAATCTCTCCGGTCAAAATGTCCGGTCAAAATAATTTTCCCTTAGCGCAATACCGCATCAGTTGCGCCACTTATGTGACAGACAAGAATAGTATGTGACAGACAAAAGAGTATGTGACAGACAAAAATTGTCAATTCTAATGTCTAACACTTAATGTGGAGAAAGAGATGTCCTGTATGGGTTGATTGTGCGTTGATCTGTTGGTAATGCCTCGGGGTTCCGGTGGGCATGTAAACAAATGCATAATGCTGCGCTATACTTTGTGGCCTCATCCGGTTGCATAGCGACGCTTATTGTTTAGGTGTCTTTTAACAAGCAGGTAGTCATATCATTAGCTAGAACTAGCTAGATCTGATCGATATGGACATAAATGCGAGTAAAGTCTAATCTGACAGGAGAGAGAGATCGGCTGCTGCTGACGAGTCGACACGCAGCTCTGCATGATCCCCTGCAGCGGCGAGCAGAGCAAAACACACTTCAGGTTAGAAAATCACACGTAGCTATTTTAATTACCTCTCAAACTACCTAAACTAGTTATAGATATGTTTAGTTTTACTGTCGGGTCACTCATTACTGGATCCGCGAGCTGCATGATACTGACGGGCTGTCAGGAGAAGGAGAGAGCGCTCCGTTTATTATTCCCGCGTTTTTGTAAATTACTGTACACTTTTGAATAATGTAGTTAATCTACTATAATTAGTTTGTTTAATGTCGAATCATATCAATTTGTTTTAAAGCTCAATAAATAACAAAGAAGACCTTTAACCGGCACTTATCTAATTTTGTCCGGAAGATTTCAACTTTAACGGACATGTTGACCGGCAAAAAAATATTCTAACGGGAACTCTGGGGTATGAAACCATTCACTTAATCCCGGTGAAATATTGGCATGAGATGATTATTTAGCCTGTTATTATTGGTGCAGCCAGAGCCATGTTTCCAGGTCTGTTAACATTTTATTTTGTTCCTTATTTTGCAGTTGCATTGCTGGTTGTTGCCTCATTCCCTTCTGCATGGATAGATTCAAATCCACCACACACAGATGTCCCAAGTGTCGAACGTCAATCATAACTATTAAACAGCTGTGAGAGAAAAGCAGTTGGTAAGAACTTGAACCTGAAAGAGTATCAGACTTAATAATGGTGATGTAGCATACAGCAGCACTTGCAGATTTGTTTGTGTTTACTATCATCATGAGCATTGAATATGAGTGGTTGAAGGATGACGCTCATGTCAGAGGGACAAACTGGTGTCTGTATTTATCCTAGATTTATGGATATTTTAGACAAGGACATTACGTGACATCCATTTTTTCAAAGCAGACAAGCAGACCTCTAATTCAATCATTTTGAAATTATAATCTGCTTTTACAGGCTAATAAGTGAGTTTGTCTTTGGTGTTACCAGTTAATTAATGACACAAACATCTCATTATAGCACATAATCCTTTTAAAGAGTGACATTTGGATTGTCAGAAAAAGCACTAATGTTCTTATAGGATAACTATCAAAAAAAGTGTCATCGTCATCAGTCCTTTTTACAACACCTTCCTCTACATTCACATGAGTTCGTTAACAGTTCTTCCGATAACCTTCAGAGGCAGACAGTGAATTCCTTTAGAATTCAACAGTGGTGCATCATGCTGTGTATATGGTTACTTTGATACTAAATGTTATTTTTCTTATGTGGGAGGTCACCAATTACGCAAAATCCACTTTTTCATGTGTTTTGTACATACATATGTGTCCCCTCTGTGTTAAGAGATTCGGAAAGCTTCAGGAAAAAAGATTCTCTCTCTTTTTGTCCTGATCCATTTATATAAAAACCTGTCTGAAAATCAGCTGATCAGATTTTGGCAACTTTGTGATGTGACAACTGTTTTATTGGTTGTGCAACCAGCCAATAACCAACCATGGTAACACCCACCTTATCACCTGAATCTCCTCCTAGAGCACCATTGTTTTTTTTTCAACCAATCACTTCGCAGAGGGGCGTGGCCAGCAGCAGCTCATGGCATTTAAAGGTACAGACACAGAATCAGCACTTTTGGAACAGGGCAGAAATAGAGGGGTTTATGGCATGCTACAATTATCTGTTTGGTATTTCGAGCCAAACACTTTGGAGAAATGTTTTGTATAGATCTGGGACCTATAATATATTGTATAAAAAGCATTTAATAGGGGACCTTTAATGAAAAGGAAAGCGGTCAGACCACAGACCTTTCTGCTGCAAAGGCTGGGTATGGCCAGCAGATGTCACTATAATACAGATCAACTGTATTGCTGTTTTAGTGTGAGGTGAGTGAACAACCCAAATGAGCAGTGGTTCATACTGATGGATGTTGTTTCTCCTCTGTAGGATGACTGTGTTGGTCTGTTGTTACATTGTAATGCTGCACAGAGATGAATAAACTACCTAAACAAAAACCAAGCAGGCATGTATGGAATCATTTTAACCCATGAAGAGTCGATGAATGATCATTTTTATCAAGAGCACAGCAGATAATGAGGTCTCCTAATCAGTGTTTTGTTTTTTAATATCAAAGGCAGGGTGCAAAAATAACTTTTTTGTCCAGAAGCAAAAAGGCTAGTAAAATTGCAGATTTCAGTCCATATATCACTGGTGTTTTTGGACCTGTAGTTAATGCAAATCTACTGTAGCAACTTGCATATTTGACCAGTTTTTGGCAAATGTTGTGCCCTGGGACTATTGGTTTTACAAAGAGTGTGCAGGATTTGGCTGATGCTAGAATTCTTGTCAGAACTGGTTGAGAAATTGAATTTTTTGCAGTAAATCCTGGGTTGGTCGGGCTCATTTGACACTATGTTACGTCAGCGGGCTCATATCCTATCATTATCACATTCACACTATCATATAAACATCTGATTTATGCTTCACATTTTACACTTTCACAGGGGGCACATTGAGTAGGTGTGTGTTTACAATCTGTTTTGATAGTGAAAGACAGGGTGGAGTGAAGAACATAACACCCCCCAGCTACATGCAGTGTTTGTCCTATCTTTAACCAGCATTAGGACATATCTCCTGCTTTTTCAGCTTTTACAACATTCAATAAAACGCTGTACATTCATTACGATCGGAGGACGAAAGGAAAGCAATAACGGTGGAATTATTTAAGATTGACATTTTAAAAGCTCCTTCCACTGTCATCTTAATCTGCCAGTACCAGTCCTACTTAATGTCAGTCTCCCATTACAATCAGAGGCTGTAAAGACCTCAAAGGAAGCAATGCAGGAACGTCTTAACTGATGCAGCACATATTCGATTATTACTGAGCTGATTATTATGGGGCAGAAAGCAAAACAGAGCTGCCCCCACCTCCAAAAAGCACTTATTTCTCCACACAGGAAACTACCTCCCTTGCATACAAAAAAATCGTCTGATAGGTGCGTGAAATCTCCTCGGTCACTCCCAGTTTAAGTGCAGTTCATGTGAGTCCAGGAAGTCGGAGGAGAAGACGCCCACCGGCGCTGACATGTCCAAAGGGTTGACCCCCCCCGCGGGCACAGACAGGGTGAGGTCCAGCCAATCCATGTTGTCCATGTTGGTGCTGTGCAAGTGCGAAGCGGAGGGGGAGTCCACCTCCATGCTGACCCCGGGGGAGTGCAGCTCCTCCAGCAGAGTCAGAGTTTGGGGCTCCGTGTGAGCAGCCAGCAGGGTCTCCAGCTGGGGGTCGGAGGTCAGGGCCGCCAAGCTGGCAGAGGGGTTGAGCTGCGCTGCAGGAAGCTGGGCTACCTGGACCACAGGGGGAGGGCGGGACAGAGCCGTGCTGATGGGTAGGGTGGTGACACTGGCTGTCACAGGGAGAGGCTTGTCCAGGCAGGGAGGGTCCTGTCTGATGAAGGGGGAGATCTCTGTGAACAAGGACACAAAGGGTCATGGTGAGAATCCAAAAAGCTAAAAGATACTTTGACAGTCCGTCCTAAAAAGAAAGGTTGCATTATTCTCACCACCGCTCTCGATTAGCACATCAAACAAGTCATCCATCTGCTGGCTGGCTGCGCTGGGACCCTGCAGAGAAATAAGGAAGGTAAGTAAATGTTTGAGTGGCCATAGAAACAATGTCAATGATATACTGTATTATACATTTGATTTATATATTAATGAAGCCTTCATTTAACCAGACAAGTCCCATTAAGATAACATGACTTCCAAGACAGCAGCAATACAGTGATTCTTTATTTAGTGTGTTACCTTACTACTCTATTTATCTTATTGTTGCCTTTTGTCTGCACCGCCCCTAAGCTGTGTAGATTGAACATTAAGTAACATTTCAAACACATAAAACAAACATATAGTTTAGAAACACAATGGAGCTAAACATTATTTGAGTTAGTATTGGACATTTATTGAAATCACATTATGGAACACTACTATTCAAATCGCAGGAGGCATAATGAATACATAAATGGTGGTTCTGCGAAGATTTCTCAGCCTACAAAACTTACTCTAAATACTTTTTTTTCTTGTCTGAAAGATCCTGGCAAAAAAGACCATGTCATTGCATGATCATTTTCCAATATCTTTCAATACAAATTAGAATATATGTTCCAAAATGATAGTTCCCTTCAGTATAGTGAATCATCTGACAATTGCAATATCAATAAAAAAGGAAATCACAATAAAATATTTCTTCCAAATCACCCTTGAAATGTTAAAACACAATAAACTAAACACACAGTATTAACTGCAGAAGCATATGCCTCGGAGACCACACAGGAAGAAACTGCTCTAGCTAAGGAAGCAATTACACATTCCTATTGAATATTTTCACCTGAACAGCTGTTAGCATGCTGCGTGTCTGTTTTACAGCGTCCTCGTAGCGGGGCGGGTCTTTACACTTCGACACATGGTCTGGCATGATCAACGCTGGCTGGCTGGTGCAGGGAGACTGTTAGAGAGGAGAAGACAACAGAGGCTTAGTCCAAATGAAAAGAGACAAAACATCATTCAAATGCACTTGCCGCTGTATCGATACGTAAATAAATCAGGAGTCATAATGTCCTTCAGACAAATAGAGTAAGTACCTTATTAGTAGCATCCTTAGGACCAGCTTGGCTGGAGGAGGCTCCTACAGGACCACCACTGGCTGGGAATGTTTCGAGTAAGCTTTGTGCTGCATTACCCATCATCCATGTCTGCAGGGACAGTGAGATAGGTCAGCACAGGGGCGGACAGGGACTAAAAATCCGGTACCGCTAGTCAATTGTCAACAGGGGGTATTCCCAATGGCCAGTCCGCCCCTGGGTCAGCATGGGGACACACATTATCCAATGAAATGATACCATCAGATTCAGAGTCAGAATTCAGTTTAATGCCAAGTAGGTTTTCAAATATAAAGAAATTCCTTTGACGTATGATCATACAGAAACCCAAGAGGAAATAAAAGGTCAAATAAGAGCAAGATCGCAAAAAAAGGAGTGTTTTATGACTGCGAAAAAAATATGTATATCTGAATTAAAAGTGAATGAGCTGTGCAGTTTTTGGCAACATTGTGCATCACAACACCCACTATCTTTGTGGGAGCAACCAAGCTGCTTTTGAGGGACAAAATGACGGGCAACCTAAATGAAGATTGCTCATCACTTCCAGGTTTTTAGCAATGTATCTTTGTTTTACTTTTCTTAGGTACCTCATCAGGTAAAGCCTCACCATCTTTCCCCCCACATACTGACAGCAGTATGAGTGTTATCCCCAGCTAGCATTGAGTTGCTAATTCTGTTGATAATTCTGGCTGCTAGTATGGCTCAGAGCAGAGGGACGACAGAGGGCACTGCTGTCAGCCTCCACTCAGCGCCTGCTCCAGTTTCCACAAGCCTTGTTTCGATGTGAATAAGGAAGGGTTATTATTATGGGAACAAAAAAGATGCATTACCCATGAAAGATCATCAATAAAGTGAAAGAAACCCTCTGATGTTTGATTAGCCGGAGCCATCATAAACACTGCAGCAGATGTGTGACGTGCAACCTAACTTGAATTAACTGCATGGAAAGCACACTTTATGATTTCAGGTGCACACACGCACATGGATGATAACATACAACTCACACGTTTTCAAGAAATCCAAACCTAGCTTAAAATCACAGCTGATAGTGACGAGTAAAACAGAGACGGACCGAGGCTATGCGAGCACGCGTATGTTTTCTTACCTTTGTGGACGGCTGAGTCTGAGCGCTGCAGTGCTGTTGTAGCGCTGCTGAGGCCTCTATTTTCTGTGGCACCTGTCCAGACGTCTGGATGAGGCCTGGGGCCGCGCTGCTAACAGTAGTGTGTAATTTAATGCTGCTGGGAGGGAGCTGGACCGCGACTGCTGAGGGAGGATGGGATGAAGCCAGGATGATCTGAGCTCTAGCCTGACCTCGCTGCACGCTTTCAGGCATTGTCTGGTTGATAAATTGATTCTGAGGACCCGCCTCCTCTTGTTTGACCAACACTGGAAGGCCAGGAGAACCACAAGACACTGAGTAGTTTGACACGTTTTCCTCTTTGACCTTGAAGGGAGCGAGAGGGCTGCGGTGAGTTGGAGAATCTCCCTGCTGACTCCTCTTCTCCACCTCCAGCTGCATCTTCAGCTCCTCCACCAGCCTCTGCTCCTGCTCCAGCTTCCGCATCAGCTCCTCAATCTGCCGCTGCTTCTCGTGGAGACGTTTGTCCTTCTCAGAGTCCTTAAAAAAGGGCCTCTTCTCGGTGGGACTCTCCTCCTGTGGAGCTCTGTGGGGGGAGGTCACACAGGGGGCTGCAGACAGAGCATCAGGAAGCCTGGTGGGGCTGTCCTCGATGCCCAGACTGGACACCTTGGAGGCTATAGGGGACACAGGCGGGGTTAACCTTATGTTTTCAGACTGTGAGGCTGTGGTCTCAGTGGCGGTCTGGGGGTTAGAGTTCTCCTGATACATCTTTAGCCTCTCTATTAGATCTGTCTTAGTCCCAGAAACAGGCAGAGATCTGAGTTTTAGTTCCATTTTCAGCTCAGCAACCTGTAAAGATAACATATAAAGGTAAAATACCTCCTTAAGATCTCGCTCGTTCTCGTCTGTAGCATGCATGAGGTGCATATTAGTGTTAGACCGTGTGCAGGCAGCAACGTCTCACCTTCATCTCATCCAGGTTAGCTGGTAAGTGATCCGGCCTGCGGTTGGTCTGAGTGTGTCGGGGGTGCACAGGGGGAGACGCAGCGCTTCCTCTCAGAGCAACTCTGCAGCAGCTGCTTTGGACCTCAGTAGTTGGTCTGTTGTTTTAAGACGGGAAAAAAAGGGAGTAAAGATCAGGGATGGAATCTAAACTATTATCCATTTCTCACAATCAACAGCTTCCATGTGAGGAGCCGTCAGCAGGAAATGTAGAATATATGAGACAAACAGCAGCTGGGGATAAACAGTTATTAGTTTATGTAAAACCAGGTGTTTTCATTTAGTT